GGAGGGGGGAAGATTTCCTTTATTTATTTTTCAGAGTCAAATACAGGAGGATATGTTTTGCATCTGCGTGAAGTGAAATTCAATGGGCGATGTACACGTTGGCACTTCCTGCTTTCCCACAGCTTTCAAAATTCGATTGTGTTCCTCTCAACGGCGGCTCAACAGTGCCAAATAAACTATGTATGTTGACAAATAGGAGGTTTCGGCCCCTCCGACTTCTTCCAGTTCTCTAGGCAGAGATATTCGTAGTTTTGAATCTTAAAAATTTCTAAAACACTTATGTTGCTGACAACAGGTGCACATCGGTCAGTGGTACCAATGCATATTTCTCCGATAGACGATGCGCGATACGGCCGATCGATACCGGTAAGTGGTACCTACGCATTTTTGTGTGATAGGCAATGGATTTAGGTTATTTCGATGAAAACCATTAGATATCAGCGGTATTCGCTTTGCTGGATTTGCCGAAAATGGTATATTTAGTGAGTGGGATCCGCGAGAAGGTGTGAAGAGGGCTGTCGAGGAAATGGCACGATGTATGGTGCGGGCGAACAGTAAAAATTGGGTTTTTTCTTAAGAAAACAATAGTGGTCGGGAAGAATTTGGTATTTTTGCAGCTTTTTCAAATGAGATGTCCGAAAAAGCCGGATTGGTGTTGTACGAGAAAAAAAAAAAATCTACTCTGGATAAAAAAAAATCTACTCTGGATTTTTGGCTTGATCTTCTTGCAATAATACATCAAATAGATGTGCTTCAGCATCTTACGAACTTCCTTACGCGTTTTGTTTTGGATTCACAAAACATCACATGGTATATGTGTGTGTGTGTGTGTGTATGTATGTTTCTATGTGTGCATGGTGTGTTTGTGTGTGCGCGCATCTGTGCGTATAGTGGGTAGATGTGTGTGTGTGCATGGATGCTTGTGCATGTGAGCTTGTGCATGTGCAAAGGTATATATATATATATATATGTATATATATCATGTATAAATACTCTTGCACATACGTATATGGGTGTATGTACATATATATGTTTGCATGTATATTTATGTATGTGCGTGGATGGATGTGTGCATACGTGGATGGGTGTATTTATGTGGATGGGTGTGTGTGTATGGGTGGGTGTGTGTATATGGATGGATGTGTGTGTGGATGGGTATGTGTGTGTGTGTGTGTGGGTGGGTGTGTGTATGTGTGTGTGTGTGTGTGTGTACATATGAGCAGATCACTGTATTAATGTGGAAGCTGGAAAACTGATGTTCTCGAAACATAATCGTCGGCGATAAGTTAGTTCAGAAGCATGAAATTGATTTCCACAGCGTGCTGCATTCTGATTCGCAGAGTTGTATGATTTCGATTCTCATTTAGAGTGTTTGTCGGCGCCACATCAACAGCAGACATCTGTTGGATGGAACTTGGAAATAAGAGCATGTTGTCCTGGGCTGGAATTCTGCCAAAAATCGATCTCGGCCGGTGAAAGAAAACGCGACGTATTTGAGACAGGCTATGGGAAAATTGCTAATTTTAGCGAAATCTGTTAATTTTAGCGAAATCGATAATTTGTTAATTTTTTTTAGTGAAGTCGTTAATTTGTTAATTTTAGCGAGATCTGTTTTAGGCGGAGGCATTCGGATGTAGCCGGAGTGATAACAGCCGCAGCAGCTCTCTCTGGACAGGTTATCGATTGAGCCCTCTTTCGATTGTTGCTTTGAAAAGCAAATGGAAAATGATTTGACTCCCCAACATATCACTGCCATTTTAATCTCACAAATTTTCTTATTTTCATTTCTTGTCCTTTTCCCCTTCTTTCCTATAACTTTTAATTACCTGGAAATTCTATGCTTACGGGCAGCGCAGTGGCAAGTAGCACTACCGCGCAGTAACACGAGGGTTCAATTTCGCGCAGTGTGACAACCAATCCTTCTACGATTCGTTCATTCGTTTCAGTGGTAAACTGGCACTGCTACATGACGGGAAGTCAAAACTGTTATTGGTTCGCTTTCAAACAACCGTTAAATAACAAGCGAGCCATTGTCAGTTTTACCAGCGTGTGGTTGCAGTTGGCACTTGCTGTTGTTAGCACTATTTCCGAGTGCTTATGCTTCTTACAGGGAACGGAGGAAAATTATTATTATTTTTTTTGGTGCATTAATGTAATAGTTTATTTCTCGCTACAGCTTGTGGACTACTGACGCGTAGATAATAATGAATATTAAAGTAGGGGAATAATACGCAAAACAAAAGAATCGATTTACATGAAATGAACTGTTGAAATATAGATAAATACAAAAAAAGAGGCTATTTCTGTATAAAACAATTGCTTAGGACACGATTTTACTACAAAAAATACAGGGAAAAGGTATTTTTGCATGAATCCCGGTTCAAGCATGTCACTTTTTGATGTGAAAAAACTGGATTTTCAGAATGCAAAAAAGCCATTTGACCACTGTGATAGGTGGGAAGTGATGTCAGATCGTTTCGTGATGTATCAGTATGGATTAGATTCGGATGTTCGACAGACCGTTTCCCTCCTTTTTGGCCATCAGCAGCTTGATTCCATGAAATACCTGGAGGAAAGGGACTATCGACGGTCGTAACTGTGATTGTTTTTACCAAATATTCCGTTTATTTTGAGAAATCTATGAAATGATTGTGAAAAGAAGGCATGGACATTGATAACTGGCATTTCGTTACAATAGTTTATGATGATAATTGAGTTCAGGTTAGCTGAGGAATAGCTTGATGCTGATCAGATTTGGCAGCTGTCCAAATCTGATTTCAGATCGTGGCATGAAGTGATTTCAGGTCTCGGGATTTGGACGCGTATTTCATCTTAATCGTTTGCACAAGAGCATTCGACGGTGCTAAACAGTCAGGGATCGGAGAATCATACCGGCAGCAAGGGGTTTTGGTAAATCCAGGATTTCTGTCCAGAAAATGGTCTCTTTGAGGGGAATACCTCCTGTGCAAGGAAGCGCGGAGCAGATAGAAGGGGAAAGGAACGGATCGTTGGCATTTTTCCAGAAGTTAGGAAATGTTCTCTGCAAAAATTTGGGTTCTTTTCCGGTTATTTCAGCAAACCGAGACGCTTGCAAGCATTGATTTTTTTTTTCTTTTTGTTCTGAAATAATTGGATTAGAATCTGATTTTCCTGGAGTGCGAAGATGACCAGGGTCTCCAGGTGCAGTTAGTAACTTTTAAGCTTCTACACTTAGGCAGTTGTTCAAATTCACTAAGCATGCAGATGATGGAAGACAAGGGTCAGACGCTTATTGGCGGCACATATCCAAGAATCTGGGAGACGGAAGTTTGATGTTATTTCAAAAATACTGAACCATAAGGAGATCGCTTCTCTTTGGATAAATTTGAGGTTGAGGGGTGTTCGATCCTGTCTCGGAAATACTGAAAATGAGGAGATCGATTTCCCTTTGGATGAGGTGAGCATAAGGAGTTCGTTTACCTCCCCGGTCAGAATGGAGATGGAGTTCAATCCCTCGGATCCAATAAAGGTTCGATCCCCTTTTGGCTCACACTAGGCATCTAGAAAATAGGCTTTTTTTGCAAAATCTGTTCTCTTTTCGCGCGGTTGTCTCATTCGTGATCCGCTTGGCTCCATTCATTATGCATGTGCAAAATTACTTTTCAATTTTTACAGACTATGAAACTCACTTTTTGGGATATTGCTGATTTACTGGTGAAGGCAGCCGCACTTTCTATTATTCATTTTATGGCTTATCAAATTCATCTATATTTCTCAGAAATTCTTATCGTTATCTGTACAAAACTGAAATTATTCGTTCTGTAATCAACAACTGCTATGTTAGCAATGCTTTAATAGCAACAACAATATTTATTCGAATATCTCGGCAATGTCTTTTCGTCGATATGGGATACATACAATATCGAGATTTGTATTAGGATTTTATCGAAGACACGCGGAACAACCAGTTTATCGAGATTAAGTAAGTCCAAGGTTTTTTTTTCCGTTAAAATTTGATTCTTTTTGGTATCTCAGTAACGAATAAGTTGGGGACCTGAACACTGAACTACTTCCTGGGCATTTATTTGGATTTAATCCAAATCATTCTTGAACCAATTAAGGGAGGCTTGTGTTTTGTAGTTAATATTTTCTTTATGTAACTCGTCATATAGTTCTTTGTGAGGGGGCCAAGGGAGGGGGGAGGGGGTCTTTGCTAACAGTTATCTGTTGTTTGCTAACTATTATCATATGTTAAGTAGAAATCTAGCGATCCTTGTCCTGCATAAAAT